CCCTTCTGCTTTTTTTGATCGCCGAGCGTTTCCCCCAGCATCTGGCACGTCCTTTTTTCTCTCCAGGTCCACCACCATCATCCAAGGCATGGTATGTACTTTGTACACTACACACACACACGTACGGATACACACACGCACACACTCACACACTCACACACACACCAAATATTCTCTCTCTGTGTCGTTCTTCTCTTTTCTGCCCGCCCGTCTCTTACTTACTCCTCCTTCCATTGCCCACCGTCTTCTTTCTCATACGGATGGATACCCAAGGCACTCCTCCCGCTGCACTGTTGTTTCTCTCTCACTCTCTTCCCTTTCTCTCACTCTTACCGTCCTCCTCTCTTACATCGCACTCCCTCCCTCTTTCTCCCCGTCTCTCCCACACGCCCTCCCCCCTGCCTCTAATCCACACTCCTCTTGTACCCCATCTCTCTCTCTCTCACTCTCTGTCTCTCTCTCACTCTCTCCCCTCTCACTCTTCACACCCCATACCCTCCTTAGCTCGACCCCCCTGTATCCTGTGAGCTGGGTTGTGTGTCTTTGCGTCCTCTACGAATACACAGTTACCAGTAAGTAGTCCCAATCCTAGTCCAAGTCCCACCGCCGCCGCCGCCGCCGCCGTCTTTCCCTCCGCCTTGTCCTGCTTGCCTCCACACCCACCGGCTCTGCTTTGGAGGGAAAAGGGTACTGACTCTTTGGCTCTGTTTCTAGGCTCTGGCTCCCGCACCTGTGTTCTATCTACCCGTACCTCTTGTTGATGCGACTGATCTCTCTCTCTCTTTCTCGCGAATGCTTGTCACTTTCCACCTCGTCCGTCCCGTCGTCACTCGTCACTCTGGCCCTCCTTGACCTTGACCTTCTCCCCTCCACCTCCTCCACTTCCACCTCCTCTAAGGATACATCCTGTGCTGCCGCTACCGCCGACGCCGCTCTGCCCTCTGCCCCGTCCGCCTTGTCTTTCTTGGCTCTCGACGTACATGGTAGAGCTTCATCTGCTACCCTTGCTCGGCTTCAAACAGCTTCCTGATCTCCTCGACCGCGGCACCTTGCCTGGCCCTACGTCGGCATCCCGCCTTGAGCCCTGGGTCCGATCTGCCCTGTCTATTGTCTTAACCCAGGCCTGTCTGTACTATCCTGGTTCTCTGAGCTCGAGGCACCTCCATCTTGTTCTCGGCTGCCGTGGGCGCGCGCGCTCTCTCTCACCTCACTCCTCCCCTGATTGCACTGCAAAAAGAGTACATGGACATATTATTTCATCCAGTCTCCCGATCTTCACGCGCAATTACCAGTTTTACCGTCGGGCACCGACATTCATATAAGTCCTCGGCGACATCCAGTCTGCAGACTACTTCATCTACTTCTTGCTGCAGTCCCTAGCATCCGAAGCTCAGGATACCAGGAGTTCGAGGCTCAACCACTCGGTTCAAGAAATCAAAAACCTCCGAGGCCCTCCCTTCTGTTTACTCCCTTCCCGACATCTAAGATCTCAGGGTCCGTTCCACCCACTGCAGCAAAGCAAGGCAAACCAAAGCACACCACAGCACAACAGTACATCACACCGCATACATCAACCACCACCCACGCTCATTCCTTTGCAACAAGAATCTCGCCAGCTAGCTGCTCCTCATCCTCCGCACCCACCTACCTCTAACTCTCATCACTCCTTCTCTTCCCCGTGAGAAGGACGAGCCTCTTTCCTTCTTTCTCTCTCTCTCTCTCGCTCTCCCTCACACACACACACACACACACACAATCATCCTCCTTCCTCGGAACCTATACCACAGTAATTGTTCTGGAACCTGGACATCCACCAGTTCACCGCAAACCGCCCCGACAGGAAAGAGAGAAACCCAGACCGCGCAGCTAACACGCCGCCAATATTCAACCGTGCTACGCTTGACAAACCTTAAAACACTGGACCTCACCATCAACCTCCGGTTCCTGACCCACGCAAGCCACAAGCCATAGACATACACGAACATCTATCCCGTTGCCTGCTGCTTCTGGCCGTACACATTCCGTCCTCAAGCTCCTCCTCTTGCTTGGGCCAGTCCAGAACTGTATACTCTCTCCGATCAGAGGCGTTGAGCCCGTCGCGCCATCCCACACCCAAGCTTCACGCGTCAGGTGACGGTAACCTTGAGTCTTCCAACACAGCTTCTGTTCTCGGTGGCTGAACCAGAAGACGGAAAGGTGAACAAGGAGGCGCTCGGAAGCATACAGTCTCGCGACCTGGATACTACGATAAGCGCAGGGCGAACCACGGTCCCGCGTCTTGCTGCAGATTCAGAGCTCCACACACGTACCGTGTGGTACCTTACCTTACCCTCCTGCCCATTATATTCCCCTCCCTCTTCTCTCCTTCGCAGAAACGCTTTGGAAATTTAGCTTTAACAAGTCTTAATCTTCTTGTCGCCGTTGAAAGACTTTCTTCCCTCCTCCTCCCACCGGCGTTCCTTCTGTCTACGCCCTCCTCTTTCCATCCTCGCGCGTCTTAGTCTCAACATCACGCTCAACTGCGCGGCTCCATCACTGTTCTCACGAGCACTCGCTAGTCAAGTCAGCAGGGCTAGCTTCGCTTCCCTTCTCCTCCCCATCATCATCACCATCATCTGGGAGGACTGAACCTTTCACACTCTATTCAACATTTCCTTTCCAACGCATACACGTACTGCCGGTAAGTGGCGCAACTCTACCATCGTTACCGCAAACGTTCAACGTAACTTACACGATTAGACTCGGCGCAACCGGAAGCCAAAAATGGCGAATTCCAACGTCCCATTAAACCCAACCTTCATCGGCCACGTTGCTTCCACCCTCGACGCTCTGGTTCTCTTTGAAGCATGTCTGAGCAGTGCACTACACCATGTTCCCCGCAGACCACACGACCGCGAACGCCAGGATCTCATCAAGAGCGGCAATGTCTTCATCTACGAGGAGCACTCGTCCGGCATCAAGCGCTGGACTGACGGAGTTGCTTGGAGTCCCAGTCGTATTCTCGGCAACTTCCTCATCTACCGCGAACTCGACCGGCCGTTCCCGCCGGGCGAAAAGAAGCGCGCCATGAAACGTAACAAAAAACCCACAGGTGTAACGAAGCCTGAGGTCGCGCGCCAAGGCAGCGTCAACGGAGCTGCGTCTACTATGGGCATGGGAGATGGCTCGCAAGGCGGCAACAAGGACGCGGAGCGAGCATTGATTGGATCCCTAGTCGACTCGTATCCCTTCAAGGAAAACGGTCTGGTGAAGAAAACGATCAGTGTGACTTACCAGGGCGTGCCGCACCACCTGGTGTCCTATTACAACGTCGAAGATGTCACAGAGGGCAAGCTGATGACCCCTTCCAAAGATCACCAGCTCTCTACCATTATTCCTAGAGGGGAATTGATCATGTCGCAAAATTTCCGCGCCCCAATTGACGAGGTCGAGATGGACGACTCCCGAGGAGGTCACGGACTTTTCGCGCAACACTATCCCGTTAACGGCCACCACCAGAGCCTGTCACGAGCAATGTCGGTGCCTTCGCTACACATGAGTGGAATGCCTGCGGCGCAGTTCGGCCATCCACCGTACATGTCGTATATGAATCCAGTCCCCGGGTCCGTCAGCAACGTTGGCTATGCGCAGCCTCAACACCCAAATTACGCATATGATAGCCTGAGCCGTGCAGGCCGGTATCCGTCAAGTGCTGGCTTGGCTCCCGACATGTCTCGAAACATGGCACTCGAGTCACAGCACCATCCTCGACGACACTCAACAGCTTACGAGCCCGTCACGGGCCCCGAAATGGGTCTTGCTAGCAGCTTGCCAGCTGTATCAAGCGACCCGTCAAGGTCAATGGGTGGAGGCAACTACATGACATCCATGTTGTATTCCCAACAACGCCCTCACGACATGTCTCCTCATGAGCCCTTCCCCTCGCCGTCTCCCCGCCACGTGCACAACGAATCCGGGATGGGCGGTGACAGAAGCGCCCAGGGCTTCCCCATTGAAGGGCTCAATCGCGATACGTGGAACACGTTTGACCAGATAGCCGAGGACGACCAAGGTCAATACATGCCGCAAGGGAGTGCAGGCTGGCCCAGTAGCAACAACAACAACTCGCTTGGTAGGACCTGAAGAGAAGTAGGATTAGAGTCGTTTGCACGTCTCGACTACCGGACTTGTCCAACATGAGGCCGCTGGACATAGAACCAGGACCCAACATTGGTTGGACCGAATCACCAGAGAGGATTGCCCTTGAACGACAGTGTGGAAAATGTTGCGGGGTCATCAAATCCCTCAGGTTACAGAGGGTGACTCTGAATTCAGGCGCCAAGGTGCTTGGTTAGCGCGGCGCCGAGGTTGCGGTTTGCGATGATGTTTTTTGATCCGGAAGAAAACAGAGGTGCGCAAAGCTGAGCGCAACCTACGATCCAGGAGTATGTGATGTATACTGAACAGGGAAAGGGGGGTTTCTTGGGACTACCAAAAAGTTTACCTGTAAGGCAGTTACAGTCTGCAGACACGCATGTTGTACTCAACGCAACGAATCATCATGCGATGTGATCGTTTTGCGTAGTCTGTAGTGCTCCATTCGATGAGAGTGATTACATAGACAGAGTGGCGCTTTGCTACATTACACTTCAACATACCTTACCTTGTTTAAGGACAATTGAAAATTCAGTCAACTATGCGGCAAAGAAGAATATGCTAGTGGCAGAGGTTTCCTGTTCGTGACATACTTGGGACACGGGCCAATGGTGATTCACGCTTACCAAACGACGGAAACCAAAGGTACCTACATTAGGTACGGAGTACTCCGTACCTTCTTTAGTAATGTACCTAAGGTAAGCTTCCCGTCCGTTGAGGAAAGAGCTCTACGCGCATAGCAAGGGGGGGTAGCTCCCGACGTCTTCCACCCGCACGTGAGCTCGTGATCGTCACTCATCCAATCGATCGCGCGAAAACCAAGTGAAGTTCAATTGCGGTCTGCGTCGGTGCTCCAGAACACAGACATGCCATTCGTCAGGCTCGGTGGTTGCAGGGCTCTGTCTCTGGCGCAATGCGGTCGTGTACAAAACAGCTTCTGTCCTAGCAGTGGCAATCGCCTTCTCCATGCGTTGCCGTCACCAGCACGGCATCGGCCGACCTTAAAGCTCACTGCCAGTGCCATTCTCAACCACCCGCCTCAGCGTCAATCGCGGCCGCGGCTCGTCGCTCCCTACGTATCGCAGAGCGATGGTAAACCACCCAGGTTTGTCTCCTTCTTTCCCCCGGCCAAGGCCCCTCTTCCCCAATGCATAGGCTGACGTGTGAGATTGCTGCAGCACGGCAAGCAAGATCGTCGCGAAGCTGCCCACGTTACCACCGACCCTGCGCGAAGACATCCGTACCCTCCCGAACCTGCTGACACTCTCGCGCCTCGTGGCCGCGCCGTTTGTGGGCTATTTTATCCTCCACGACCAACATGCCTGGGCCTTGGGCTTGTTCGCGTACGCCGGTGTGACGGATTTGCTGGACGGGTGGATCGCGAGGCGGTGGAAGCAGCAGACTGTTGTCGGGACGGTGATTGATCCGATGGCAGACAAGGCGTTGATGACTATCCTCACTGTGTGCCTCGCCGCTCAGGGGTCTCTTCCGGGTAGGTCCTTTTCTTTGCTGGCTTTAGTCCCCTCCATCTCCGTCTGTCAACGGAGAAGCTTCCCGGTGATCGAATAATGTGATGGGATGTGGCGTGGAAGGAGCTTCGAATGCCTCGCCGACGCTCCCGCCAATCTGAGGGAATAATGTAGACTGACAATTATATGCACCTGACAGTGTGGCTCGCAACAATCATCCTAGGTCGCGACGTGGGCCTCGCCATCTCCGCCATCTACTACCGCTGGATCTCCCTCCCGCCGCCAAAGACCTTTGCACGGTACTGGGACTTTTCCCTGCCCTCGGCCGAAGTACACCCCACGACCATCAGCAAGTACAACACCTTCCTCCAGCTCGTTCTCATCGGCCTCACGACGGCCGCGCCGGTGTTCAGCTATGACCTGTCGACGCCTTTGACAGTCATGCAGTACGTTGACTCCTTTCCTCCTTGCCGGTGCTAGACTTCTTCGTGAAATTGCACAACATGAGGCGTCTTTTTGAGGTTTGTAGATTCCTCCGTTGTGCTGACTGGAGTCTAGATATGTTGTCGCCACCACCACGATTTGGAGCGGCGCCAGCTACATTTACACCAAGGATGCGGTCAAGATTCTTGCACCGCCGAAGACTCCGCCTCCGAAGGTATAAAGCAACATAACCGCAGCCTCGTGGGGAAGTAAAAATGCAGCTCATCCATCAGGTGTGGTGCATCAGTGTACGTAACAAATCATGTATAAAAGGGGCGTTACGGAAGGTGGGCAAAATTTTGTAAAATTGAATATACACGCACAAAGGGAGCAAGAAACCTTGGTCCCAGTCGGCAGCTATGGTATTGGTACAAGCAGAAAGATTACGCTTTTCTAGCCTTCTCCAGCTCTACATCAGTCGGCAAGCCCTTCTTTCTAGGTATTCTGCGTAGTCGTTGCGTTACGGCATGTCCTTCTCCCGGCTCTGCTGCCTCTCCCGCCACGGCTTCTCCATGTTGGCTAGGGCAATGCTCTTCTGCTGGCGTTGCACGTAGCCCAACAGACGGAGGCATCCAGACGGCGTGATGCCCTCCAACCGCCTCGCCTGCGCTAGAGTCTCGGGCATGGTGGCTTTGAGAACCGTCTTCTCAGCCATGGCCAGGCCAGGGACCTTGTCGTAGTCGATCGAATCGGGCAGCCTCAGACTTTCGTCCCTGGCAAAGACCTTGCGCTCGGCGAGCTGTCGCTTGATGAATGGTGCGTACGTCGCCTCGATGTGAATGCGGGACTTGAGACGCTCCGGAATGGAGTCTATACTTGGTACCGCGGCAGCGACCTGGTTCCAGGTTACGTCCTTTAGTCGGAGCATATCCATTGCGTTGCGCCGGGTCGTGTCTTGTTTAACGCGGAAACCGCATTTGGACCATTCAGGTGTGCTCTTGCTCGTCGAAGAGAGGAGTGACATGATGTCATCCATCTGCTGCTTCTCATCGCTGAAGTGCGTCCACCGCTTGTCCGACACGACGCCCCAGTCCCGTCCTTTCTCGGTCAGTCGAAGGTCGGCGTTATCCGCTCTCGACGTCAGCCTGTATTCGCTTCGTGTTGTGAACATTCTATACGGTTCAGTAACGCCCTTGGTAATGAGGTCATCAATCATGATGCCGATGTAGCCGTCTGCTCGGGATATCGGGGCCGCTTCGAGGCCCAGCGCGGAGTGAGCTGCGTTCATGCCGGCAACAACGCCCTGCCCGGCCGCCTCTTCATAACCCGTGGTGCCGTTGATCTGTCCAGCGAGGAACAGGCCGCTAATCTGCTTCGTTTCGAGCGTCGCCTTGAGACTCCGAGGGTCTATGTAGTCGTACTCGACACCGTATCCCACTTGTGTCATGACGCACTTCTCCAGGCCTGGAATCGAGCGCAGAATCTGTTCCTGAGCCTCTTCCGGTACGGTCATGGACAAGCCATTGGGGTATATGAGGTCGCTGTCGAAACCTTCGGGCTCCAGCCAGACAAGATGCTTGTCTTTGTCAGAGAACCGGGTGATTTTCGCCTCTAATGAGGGGCAATATCTTGGGCCCCTGATGGTTTCTCGGATGTGTATCGTCTTGTCCAGGTTGGCCCTTACAATGTCATGCGTCGCCTCATTCGTATAAGTGACCCAGCAGGACAATTGCTCTTCGACGGCCACTCTATCGTTCAGGAAGCTGAACGGCATGGGCGGGTCGTCTCCGGGCTGCCTCTCCAGCTGCGAAAAGTCAATGCTGTCCTTGGCGATACGCGGCGGCGTTCCTGTCTTGAGCCTTCCTAGGCGAAAACCACTGTCGTCCAACGACTTGCTTAAGCCAAAGGATGCATCTTCTCCGATCCGTCCGGCGGGATACGCTTTCATGCCGATATGAATCTCGGCGCTCAAAAACGTGCCCGTCGTAATGATTACTGCACGTGTAGGGAGAACCTCGCCAGACTCGAGACGCACGCCTGTAATCTTGCTCTGGACGGAACTCGTGGTTTCTGCGCTCTCACTCGTGACGATATCGGATACACTACCTAGCACGATGGACAGGTTTGGGTACGTTTCCAGCTCTTCTCTCATGTGCTTCTGGTATAGTTTTCGATCAATCTGTGCTCGGGGTCCCTGCAAAAAGTAACGGGTTAGCGACTACAAAGATTCCTCAGAGAAATAGAACTCTGCATGGAGCTTACATACCCAAACAGCCGGCCCCTTGGTCCGATTCAAGACCCTGAACTGCACGCCAGCCTTGTCGATGACCCTACCTGCCAACCCGTCGAGAGCATCGATTTCGCGAAGTATTATTCCCTTTCCGATGCCGCCGAAAGATGGATTGCAGGAGCAGGTGCCGAGGTTCTCGATCTTTGGTGTGACCAGAGCTGTCCGCGCGCCGGTTCTGGCAGCCGCTGCGCATGCTTCTGCGCCCGCGTGGCCGCCTCCCACTACAACGACATCGAATGGTCTTGAACATTCGTAAGCTACGTGCAACTGGCGCGCGAGAGGTGTATGTTCTCGGTATGCTGCAGACTGACCTGGTGCCTTCTGCGACGTCTGCGAAGCCGCGCCTACCGAGCTGTCGCAAGCTTCTGGCAGCAGGACGTGGGCGCAGCTTCAAGGCTGCTGAAAGGGATCGCATCGCCTATGTTAATAGGCTAAGAGACTACACGCGCTCCAGCAGATGCGACTGGCAAGCTCGTGTCCTGGGAAGTAGAATCGAGTTTGAAGGCTGAAGTTCTCCTAGTTTGTATCCAGAGTTCCTCTATGCCATTGCTCCCCCATTGATTTTTTTGGCCCCTTGGTGCCACAGTGTAGTGACATGATCGGTGCACGGCGGTTACAAACACCGACTGCAGGGGGTACTTTTATTGTAGCTTACCAAAGTGCTGTCGTCGCCAATGAGCATCTTCTCAGGAGTGCTATGAGCCTCTCAATAAACTCATCGCTACCTTATTCCGTGTATCACATGAAACTATGAACAACAATGTCGCACCAAATACACATTGCTCACTTTCTCGTCCAGTCTTAGGAAGCATGATGGCTAAGCATTTACATCTGCTGGAGAATACCAGATTTGATGGTCGCAACCAAGCCTTCCAATAATAAGTCATGTTCCTCCTCCTCCTTCGTCTTTGTCTTTCCTTGTGCAATACGAGTATGCCACAGAGGAGCTTGTGGTCCTTTCTCCTGCACTCTGCCAAATTGAAAATAGAGTATAGACATTCATTCCGTGCACAATTAGCCTAGTCGAAGAGCATCTTGGCGCACAACAACTCGATGCCTGGTGACCTTGTCTGTTCCTTGCGAAAGGGCCTATGAGTACATGCAGACACGAGAATTGCCGATGGTCACTGAGATCTCGAACATCCCAAATTGACTGCTCTCCGTTTATCGCCTTGTGCCAGCTTTCTGCGTCTCGGGCCACGAAGATACAGCATCCTCAACCTCTTCCAGGAATGTAGCCGAGTTGTGGACTGTAGTACCTCCTAGTACCAAGCGCACACCTGGCGAAGATGCGTTGATTGTTGCCACCATCTTGGCCTCCTCGTATGTTGCTCCACCGACTATGAAGACAATAACGTCTTGCGGCTTGTCTCGAGTAGTTCCTCCGCCCTCAACAAAGGGATACTGCTGTTCTTTAAGTCGTCCCCGAATCAGATTCTGAAGCGTACTTTCAAGTAAGGGGCTATGCTGTGTGTAAACGTTCTCGACACCCTTTAGTCCCTTAAACCTGGCACCAGCTCCTCCAAATATGCCACCCCCCTCGAAAATGTCTGCAATGCCTGCTTGAGCCTGTGATTGCTGCAATGAAGATTGATACTTCACAAGCTTGGAGATGAGGTCTGCTCGCCGGACTGAGACCCCGCCAGCGGCCACCAAGAGGTCCACGAGCATGGGGAGTGCGTTGGACGGATTGCGCTCATATCGTAGGGCATAAAGGGCGACTAGGCCAACCTTGCTGTCGCTTGTCACCTTTGGAGACTGAATAAGCTTTTGAATGTTCTGTGGGAAGAGTCAGCTTCTGGTATCTGCGCTGGGAAGCCGTACTATGATTGTCGGATAATACCTTGAGATCAGCCGCATGGTTGTCATTACAAGCGAGACTTTGTTCCAGCTCACTGACTTCGAGTAGGTTCTCGGCTCCAACACGTCTACTCAACTCTGAAACCAAGGTGACGTGCTTGCTAACATTTCCGGATAGCTTGCGGAACTCAGGGTATTCCTCGATGAAGCGCTTCATGTCCGATATCGACTCGATATTTGAGCTGTTTTGTGTCTTGGACTGGTATTGCTCCACGTAGTCTTTGATGTTGCCGCCCAAGTCACCAAAGTTGAGATACATGTTCTTCTTGAAGAAAGGATCCTGGTCTTGCGACAAGACAATCTCCTTCAGCTCCGGGCGAATATCAGGCACATCGCTTAGGTCGACTCGGCCGTTGGTAATACCAAGAAGATGGTGCACCATGGCTTGATATGTCCATTGCGTGAGAAGTGGTGTTGCTGGATCCTCGCGCCTGTCGAGCACGAGCAGGAGAGGAGGCGTGTCCACCTTCCGGAAGTCGAAAAGCTGCTCCTCTTGTGTAATACGATATCGCACTTCTGTAGCCAATTTCTTGGTAAGTGGGCTGGTCTTGGAGTATCTGATCAGCGGTTTCTTCTTCAGTGCAAGAAGCACAGCAACGAGTCCGTCAGCACTTCGTTGCAGGGCGTCTGGGTTCCACGTGTCTTGGTTGCTGCCCCACAGACGCTGATGGGGAAGGCTGAGTCCAAGTGAGAACAGATCGGGGTTGATGACGATGAAGTCGGCAAACTGCTCCTGAACCAGCTTCACAACCTCATGGTCGTCAGCCTCGGCAAGTCTTTCTAGTGATGACTTCTTGACGACGTTGGTGAAATACAGATGATACTCTCCGTACTTCGGCTCTCGCAGTTCATCAATCAGGAGTTGAATGGAGTCTGGCGATGGTCGTACAAGACATAAACATCGCAAGTGACGCATCTTCTCTCTGTTGGCGTTATCAATACGATCAATGAGATAGACCTCGTGATTCAGCAGTGCTGACTGAGTGATAGCAGTGGACACAATAGGAACTGTCTCGCGGTCCAGCAGCAGAACCTTCATTTTTGCCGACTGTGTCGAAGATGAAGAATCAGCGGACTGAATCATACGAGAGACATAGCCAGCCACTGCTTGTGCCACGTCCATGTTGGCCAGCGGCGCAGAACGCAAAGGTCGAATGCGTGTTGAAGTGTGTTCAATGGAGGAAAGGATGGGATACGTCCTTCGGCTGGTGGTGGCGATGGTTTGAGAATAGGGACCGATGCTCAATGAAAGCTGTGAATTCTCTAAGCGTGGTATTCAGCGGTGTTGTGTCTTCGATGAATTAAGATGAATCGCAGGATGAGCGGAAACAATGTCGTTCGCAGATGGCAGAGTTGACTGGGACAGCTTGCCTGAGCTCCCTGGCCTGCGTGCCTACCACGCCTGCGTACCTTAGGTACCTCATCCTTGGTAAAGTACCCTCGACATTAGGTACACCCACAACTCCAACAGCTTTCTAAGCTGGGTATACCACAGATTTCCCAGCGCTAAAGTCGAAGGCCGGCCTAGAAAAAGGGATTGATAGAAAGATGTCTCCCCCGCTAGATCTTTCTATGACTTGAGTGTTGTGATATTGCATACATGTTGAGTGGTATTATATACTTCACCATGGCAGTGGAAACTCCCGCGGGATGATTGTGCCTGACACAGTGACTAGCCTCCTCGGGTCAGCTGTGGGTCCTTGGAGCAGTGACGTCCAGGCCACTCCACAGTGTCAAAACTGTTAGTCAAACACCTCGAGGCCGGATGGCACTTCGTCGTGGCATTCATGCAGCATCTAACAGGCTTCCTTCACTAAGATCCAGCTTCCAAAGCCACAAATCTCACGACGGCCAAGTCCTCACCCATAATCTTGTACTTCGTCCCCAGTGAGCACATTTCCAGAGACATACTATACTGTCTACTAAGCAACTTGGACGATCGATTCATCTTCCGCCTCCATCACGATGGCAGGCCTTGCCGCTGACACTTGCCCAGCAAAGGCAGAACCAACGTCAGCTCTTGTCCCATACGCACGTTTCTGTGAAGAGTATTCCATACTAATTTACAACGTCATAGCCTCTCCTTCACGCAAGGCCTTATTCTTGGCCAGCTGTCAGTGGTTCTCGTTCTTGCCGCCTTCATCAAATTCTTCATCTTCGGCGACCCTCCCTCACCAGAGGTGACAGCATCACTGAGAGCAACAGAGCGTCGGTCAAGGACCCTAGCTCATAAGCGCTCTCTCCTCAGTCTTCGGACGGCCAACGCAAAGCATGGCCAGCAGACGCTTAATCGGAAGAAGTCGAGCGTCCTCCGGAACCCCCCGAATCTTACCATCGGTTCCATCCTCAGCAAAACCTACTACAATGTCGATAGTCACCAGCCAGAAAGTTTGGACTGGTTCAATGTCCTCGTGGCGCAGACAATTGCCCAGTTTCGAAGCGACGCACAGCATGACGATGCCATCTTGAGCTCTCTCACCAAGGCACTGAACGGAGGATCGAGGCCCGACTTTGTAGACGAGATCCGCGTGACGGAGCTGAGCTTGGGAGAGGATTTCCCCATATTTAGCAATTGTCGAGTCATACCCGTTGACGAAGACGGCCTGAACTTGGGTAGCGGCAGGACTCTCAACGCGAGTGCGGCAACGAGGGATGGCGCGAAGCTGCAGGCTCGGATGGACGTTGACCTCAGCGACATGCTCACTCTCGCTATCGAGACAAAGCTTCTCCTCAACTATCCCAAGAACCTCAGCGCTGTTCTGCCCGTAGCACTCTCAGTCTCTGTCGTAAGGTTCAGCGGCACCTTGTCGATTTCCTTTATCCCGAGCAACCCTTCACAGTCCACCCCGACCATGATGACTTTCAGCTTCATGGATGATTACCGCCTCGACCTGTCAATCAGAAGTCTTCTCGGAAGTCGTTCAAGGCTGCAAGATGTGCCTAAAATTGCTCAACTGATCGAGTCGCGGTTACACCGTTGGTTCGACGAGCGATGCGTGGAGCCGCGGTTTCAGGAGATCGCCTTGCCGAGCATGTGGCCGCGCAAGAAGAACACCAGGGGCCCTGAAGATGGACTGGCCGAGATCAACGCGTCGGTGAGTAGGGCAAAGGGGAAAGACATAAACCCGAATCTCCGCGCAGAAGCTCGAAGGGAAGTTGAAGCCGAGGCAAGGACGCAGACAAGTTGGGAGCACGACTCGTTACGTCGACGCAGGATGCGTAGTGACGACGGGTTGACGATGCCCGGCGCGATGCCCGGGCTAGATATCGATATGAAGACCTGATGTGGTCATTGCTAGAGCAGTATCTAATGTATTTACAACCTACAACGCACCTCAGAATCCCTGCGGAAACAGGCTCGCCGAGGTCTGGGTCAGTGGTAACAAACTTCTCCACCAAGTAATGGCTCCAACGAATAAAAGTACATAGTAAATCACCGTCCATTTTCGACTATCGGCAGGTGCATAGTGTCCACTGACGTGCCAGTAAGGCTCGACAGCCCCCCAGAATCGGGGCAGGCCCATTACATTGCAGAATGCGTGCACCAGCACGATGGCTAGTAGGCTCCCTGAGCGGAGGAAGAGGAATGTGGCATAGGCGCCGAAGAGAGAGGTGTAACTGAACTGCAGAATTGAGCGTGCCACTGCGGCGACCAGAGGCACCTTGGGGTGGGAGATGCGGAACTCATAAAAGTGATGAACATGAGCAAAGCCGAAGATGACGGGAGACAAGAAGACGGTTTGTGTCAATGACATGCGAGCGCAGAGCATCAACGGAACAGAGGCAGAGCGGAACAGCATTTCCTCAGTCAAAGGTCCCTTGGTATCGCATTAGCATCCCTAGAAATGGAGCAAATGATACGTCTGGGGCTTCCTTGATGCAACCTACCATGACAATGTTCCGCCAGGTTGTCAACTGGGTCCAGATACGGACAATGGGGCCAAGACCGTGCCAGTCTTCCCAAAGGCCGTCTATGAGAAGAGTCTCGTACAGCGGACCAGCAAACAGGATTGCCGTAAGGAGAAGGCATAATGCGGACTCGAGTATGCCGATGGGCCAGTATCCCATAGCATGAAGTGGTCCATAAGGTAGGGTACCATCAGGTAGACGGGCCAGGATGATGTAAGTCAGGGCGGAGCATGATGCAGTAGAGAACAGGACAGATCTGATGCGCGTGCGAATGACGACAGGGTCGTCTCTCGACAGCGTTGGTGATGGACGGCTGGCAGGCGAGATGTAGAGAGGGGCCACGTAGATGGCAGTATAAACAACCTGGGCAGGCGAGTTAGCGATTAAACAAGCACATTGACGGAGGTGGAAGGAAGTGAGAAATCATTCGCCCTACCAGCATCGCGCACGCCGTCAACGGCTGTATGAATGGAGGGGCGGTCCCGGGAAGACTTGTGCCAGACAGCGAGTCGGGGTTATTGGACGAAGTCATGGTGAACACCACCGGCGCGACCGCGTTGCCCGAGATGTCTGTAGTAGTCGGGGGATCAACTCAGCACTTGGCTACCAATCCCCAAGGCATGTCAAGAACGGCTATGAATATACCCTGAGTTGTCTCTTCAACCAGGTATCATGGTAATTACTGGAAGAGGTGAAGTGAGGAAATTACATAATCGTTCGGACATTCCGGTGGAGCATAGGTAGGTAGAGCCCGCATACCTTAAGGTATCCGTACTGTAAACGGATATTCGCAGCTGCATCCAGCTGTCAGCGTGTCACATACACAGTACACAGGTACCTAACGAAGTCGAATCTTCTTCGCTTTCAATGACCCCACAACATCCAATGCAGGATCCTGCGCAGCACTTCTGAGTACTTGACACACGACGGGACATGGGGACCTGGAGCGAAATACGCAAGGCACTGAGTACGGATATGAGATCTCACTTTCGACTTTCAAGATGGGAAATGCCCCTGCGTCGTGCTTTCGAATTGGGAAATTGGATGCTGAGCTGTCAGACACCTGCGGACCGTAGTGTCCATGATTCAATTTGTGCCTGCAGACTTTTGTGCAGTAGCGCACTGGTACTACGGATACCTGCGCCTTTGGGCCCTTGAGGGGGGACACTACTGCATGCGCGAGGGAAAGGACACCGACAATATGCTGAACAGTGCAAACGCGAAGCGTCCGCGAGGTGGACGCGCCCCGTTGGTGTCGTGGCATTATCCATGGACGGAGGGGATTGTCACCGCATCACCATTGACAAGGCACAATTGGCAGTCTAGGATCAAAGCAACCTTACCTTACTCAGTGGTGAGTGACCAATCAAAAGAGTCAATTGGAACTTCTCACAGAGAAACATGCTGCCAATGAGAGAACGGGACGCCTGACTCCATCGCTGCCCCTAGAAGGTTGCTCACGGAAATTAATCCCTCTTGTGAGTTGCCAGTCTCCAGGTTCCAGTTATCCAGCATGCATCACGGCCTCATCCTGCAACCATACTTACTCTCAAGGGCGTATTCGCAGCATTCTCGTCATGTCCGCCTCATCTCAGTGTAGCCAGCTTTTCTTGTGCAAAAGAGACAGTGGCTCGGTGTATGTGGGGCAAAAGTCAAGACAAGTGACAACCCTCCCCAACTCTTGCTCTTATCAACTTGTCCCCGTCCCACGCGAGAGGGTCCAGCTTTTGTTTCCTCGCCATGTGCATCTACCCATGCAAGTGCACGACTCAGCCATATCGAGACTGACATAATTTCCAGAATTTATCCGCACTTTGGACACAATATTTCTTGTATTAGTAAAAACACAATCGGATCAAGATATGCTCTATGCTATTCGTGCATATCTAGATTCCAGAAGCATTGAGCTCAGATATAGCCGGGTAATCGTGAAGCGAGCGAGTGTTTTAAGCTTCCCCGTCTTCACAGCAACGGACCACCGAGCACTGTCAACGACGACCCGCCGTCACTGTCCAAAGTCCCGGCCCAGGCGGTGTAACTTCTGAATACGAATACACAGTAAGGTAGGTGATGGTCACTGGTCCCTCCTGTGGCGCACGAACTTTTTGCGATTCTGTACCAAGACGAGGGGACTCACCAGGTTTTTAATAATGATTCCAACTGGGACTCTGGCCCGGATCCCAAAGTTGTTTACAACACTTCCGCTTGCGGTAAGATGGTCAATAAAGTGGCCAAGTTTTATCCCCCGCCCGCTTTCTCTATCCGCTGTATCGTAAATACGGATAGTGCAAGTTGTGCTCATTTTCGAAAACATAGCTCCGCACCTCATCAAATGTTCGACAGGCATGGGATGATGGGAATTGTGGGATAAAATCCACCTGCGCCAGCTGGCACCTTGTTTCTCAAGGTGCAGCCCAGACGCGACCTCGGCCAAGGTACCGGTGAATAACCTTCCACTGAAATGTTTGCAGTCGGGACATGCCACCCAGCGGCTATGGCACAGAAGCGACGACCAACCACAGTGAGGTTGCAGATGGTGATAAGCGCCGGAAAACCGCCCACGCTGTTTCCTCGTGTTCCCCGCGCACTCTGGAAGTCTCGTGCTGCTGCTGCGACTGGGAATGTTACCAAGTGCGAGTTACTCTGTCAGACTCAGAACCCATCCGCTGGCAAGAAAAGAATGGAAGCAAAAGGCGACGTAACATCGGGACACAAAACTTTAGCTGTGTTTTGGCGGAGCAGCCTCTTCTACTCTAGGTTACACCCTGCATCTCACCGCCAAAGCTCAGGTGCGATCCTGAGATGACGGTCATTGTGGCCCAGAGGGGCTTATTTCGGACCACTGAAGATGATTGGGAATGCCAACCTCCGCTGATGCCGGTATTGGTGTCTGGGCAGAGAGGTGGTATTTTTTCTTTCCTTTTATTTTTCTTCCTTTTTTTCATCTTGCCAACAGAAGTCAGTGCAGCACGGTGCACCGGATGACAGGGCACGGCGACTCGCCGATGCGGGCCATATCCGTACTTCGTCTCCTTGCTTGCCTACATTTTGCGACGGCGTGTACTCAGGCCGCTGAATGGCCGCCCATCACTGCAGCAGCAGAGGCCAGTGTCCAAACAAAGTGCTGTAAGTTAGTAGAACTGACATACTTGGACCAGTGATGATAGTGAGCACGGATTCCCTAGAGAGAGAAGACTTTGAGCTTCGTGTTGCTGATGAGCTAGGTATGTCTCAGTTCACCTTGAACTAAGGTACGGTCTGATACCTCTACTCTTTCTGGGCTAATGATGAGTCGGAACTCCGGGGCCACCCTGCTTCACCGAGGTGAGCCCACCTAAACCGTTTACACTTCCTAACCGTACACACTAATAAATGGGATGGTGGACACCGTATCCGTTATGTGCCAATGTCTCCGTTCTCATGAAATTGTCCAGCTGTTCTCTGCAACTCGTCATCAAGGACCCAAGAAGCTGGCTGGACTGACAGGGAACAAGGGAACATGGGATCATGGAAGCATGGAAGCATGGAAGCATGGAAGCATGGGTGAGGAAAGAATGATGATGGGGGCCCATTGGATTGATTTCAACGCCGTGGATCGTGCGTATCCGTTCTCTCAGTTTCCCTCATAGACATGGCGCGGAGAGCGGGAGCTAATCAGCTCACGAATGGACGCTTCGAGGCTTGGAGGGCTGGGCGGTTCACCACATGGAATACTTCGTGAAAATGCTGGATAACCTACCCATGCTTCGCTGTGTTCCTTCATGTCTGGGGGCTCCGTTCAAAGGACCGTGTTTTCAAGGCTATGGAGGCGCGCTACTTTAAGTGCAAGGGACGTGCTCTCGGAACAAATGTTTTTTTTTTCTTGGAGACTGGGAAAGCTGAGCTACCTACCTAGAGCCTGCTTGTTGTTTTCTCCCATCCCTAAGACTGTACGCGGATGCTGCGTGTGTAGGTATCCGTACTTCGTAACTGTCATGTTGGGGGCGTTTCTTTTTCCACGTTCACTCTCACTCTTACCGTGCTTCACTATGAACAAGCATGATGCTCCGCACTCGGCTCCATCTGCCGGTAAGCCATGGTATCCCAAGGTTCAAGTATCCGTACCTCGCCTATATCTTTCCTATTACTTTGGGATCTGGGAACGTATGCTACGCAGTAATTAGTGTGCACGATACCAATATCTCGTTTGCTGAGCTATAGAGCAGTTTCAGTCTTCCCTGCCCTACGTTGGTCACTAATTAGTGCGGTACCATCCGTATGATATGGTAGCCTTACCCCAACGCCGCATCTCGGGCTCTCAGCCCAGGACGCCCTTGACCTTCTAGTCGTTTTCCTTGGTGGCGCCGTCGAGCAAGCGATTGCCCTTGGCCGGGTCATCCAGACCTTGTGCTCGTTCACGGGTCAGGGAGCTCCTTGGGGGTGGCCTTGGATCGGGCGTTCCTCCCTCACGGCGGCGGTTTGTTTTGTTTTTCTCGCCAGACTTTGCGAACCACGTCGACGTGGGAAAGGCATAATTAATAATAATAGCTGCTGCTGTCGTGTGTTGCATTTAGCAGCCGTGTGTCAAAAAGGCCTCGACCCCATCGCCATAACGGGTTGGCACTGCTACCCTTCTTCTTCTTGTCCTCCTCCTTATTCCTCTCCTTTTCCTTGCTGGAGATCAGCTGGTGAAGATAAAGGACGTGGTTCGTTCTATTGGAGGACAGCTGGCGCGCATCAGACTCGACAACCCGAACCATCAACCAACCCAGGGACGATCCCATACGACGCAACGGCTATCGAATCGTCCCCCTTTCCTACGAATACACTACTGCGTAGGTATTCCGCGTCGCCCACCGTGTCGGAGTGACTCTAGCCAGTTGGGTCTCCCGCCGCCGCCCCTGGTTCTCCGGCTCGAGCCAGTCCGGCCGACATTCCACTTACAGACGGGTGCTGCAGCATAGCCGCCATCAACCATTGCCGCGCAAAAGTCTGGCCCAGCTTTCAAGCCCCTGATCTGGCTCGAGTGTCGAGTCTCGAGTCTCGAAAGCAGCCCTGGCCGGCTGGCATTTGATGGTGTCAAGTGTCGAGGCCCAACCTTGCCGCTCATTCGGCCACTCCCACTGCCAATTCGCAGCAGCATCCCATTACTTGTGCAGAAGTCCCCGTTCTGCATACGACGCAACGAGCCCTCGACCGCCTTTTTTGCATCCAGGGCCGGCCCACTTCCGCTTGGGTGAGCAAGAATTGTCGTCGCGCTGTGCTGTCAGGAATCAGAAGTCGGGACCCAAGAGTCGGACCTGCATAAGACCCGGAGTCTCTCTTTCGAACAGAAATCATCCAAAACGTCGGCTTGACTGGCGGCTGGCGACAAAATAGCCGCTTGGCTGGAGACTAACTGTTCTTGCATATCGATTCAGATAGGCAGTCGTGGACGGGGAGCGACCTGTATCTATTTATTGGAAGGGGGAAAGCGAGGTAAGTGGCCGACAACATTTCTTACCTTTCTTGCCTCTCCTGCCTTCCATTCTTACCCGAGGTGCCTTCCAAGTCTAGAATTCGAGGCTTTCGGTTTCCGTAAGTACCTTACCATTCATGAGTACCTACTTACCATACCTACCTATCCGTACGGTGTACGGTGTATCTGTACGGATACCTGAGAAGTGAGAGGATTGGAACACCACCTGTTTCTCCTTGTCTTTTCCTGCTTTCCTCTCGGCTCCTGCCTTGGTCTGCTTCCATTCCCACTTGTTCCTCTCCTCCTGCCCTGTGGCCTGCCCTGTCACCCTGTCTAGCTCTTCACCACGGGTATCCTTCACCTGCAAGATACCCTGCACTTGCTGCTTCACCCCGGTCGTTCATTGCGGGCCTGGTATCCGTAGTGTACCTGGCTGTACCTACCTGGCCTAGCTCCCCCCCCCCCCCCCCCCCCCCCCCCCCACACCTCCCCCCCCCCCCCCCCCCCCAAACCCACCCCCCCCCCCCCCCCCCCCCCGGGTCCTGTGGGGCCGGTTGCTCCGCTGTGGTGCCCGTCCCCCCCCGCCCCCCCCCCCCCCCCCCCCCCCCCCACACACATACACACACACACACACACGCAAACGCACCTCAATCACCTTGTACTTGCAGGCTTGTAGACCACCAGATGGGAGAAGGGGAGGCTAGAGCTTCTTGTCCACTTCCATGAGGTGGCAGCCAGAGCTCGGAGGTGCCCACCCCAAGGTACCTTAATGTCGTCTGTCCGCCGTCGTGGTGTCTTTTCTGGTCTTCTACTCCTCTTCCTGCGCTCCCGAAATTCTTTCCCTTTCCCCCTTCCTTTTCGCCCTCTGTCTCTCTCCTCCCCCGGCCCTGTGGTCCATCTTTCGTCGTGCTTGCCGACGTCTTTTTCTTGTCTCGTCTTTTCAATTGCATCTCAAGGCCATTTCGCCTGTAATAATCTCACACTCTCATTTATCGTCTCTCGTGACGTCTTTTCTTTGCCTTTTCCCTTGTTCTTCTTCATTGTCACACTCTTTTATACCTATAGTACATTATCTTACACATCTCCGAATCCAGTCAATCACTCACTCATTTCACCAAATTTTGGCCGCCGCGGCTACTCCACACGCAACAACATAAACCACCAACGAAGAATTCCACTCAATCCACGCGCCATCCATCCATCGACGACACTCTCTCAACCAACACACATTCACACACCTGTTAGGTATCTTAATGAAGAAAAGCGGCCTTCTCATGCATTTGGAGCATTTTCATCTGGACCACTCCACTCGAGTCGAAGCAACACGGAACCTCTCAAGCTTAACGACCACATTGGACGTCTTGTACTCGACCAAATCTATTTCGACGGAATCCCCTTCGGAATTTTCGAAATACCACCACGAATTCTGACTGCCCGGAGCTAGAGCTACAACTACAACAGCCAACTACTTCCACACACCCTTCTCCACGGCGCTGCATGACCTCGAGAGCCGGAATTCGCACAATCAAAGCCAACTGTGATTGTTTCTCATCCTACCTTTAATTCGAGATAGCTAGAGCACAGACCGGATCGGTGTCCGTCACCTTCGTCACCCCCAGCTGTGCTGGTCTCGAGTCAGCCGCTCCGAGAATTCCATTGCGCTCGGCCCCCGCCTGCTCCCGCAACCGCCCTATCCCGTTAAGCTTGGGTGCCACTCGCACTCCATGGCTCGGATAACCCACGCCGACAAAGACTACCCGCCTCGACCCTTACGCTTGTCTGCGAAAGCCACCGGTTTCTCCTCCCTCCCGCATCCACCTCACGGAGCATGTCCGGCTCCGGGTCCGGGTCTGGGAGCCCCTCTCGGGGCAGCCCTTCCCGGTCCCAACGGAGGCCGTTGCATGAGCGCTCCAATTCCCAGTCTAATTCCCTAGCCATCCGCATCGTCCCCTACAGCCCGCCTCGTCCAAGCCACAAAAATCGAGACTCAACCGCCTCAGCTTCGTCATCACGCACCCCCACATCGACGACCGCACTGCTATCTCCCAACCCATCAGGTTACGATCACACCAGCTATTCATGGACCGACGACCGCACCGCCAGCCGCGCCAGCGATCGCTACTCCCACAGACGGTCTCACTCTTCCAGCACACGAACCTCAGTGCTATCGCCAGCCTCCTCAACCTTCCCATTGGTGAGCGCCAAGGATAGCGGTGTTTCAGGCTCGAAACTGCGATCCGACTCTTTGCCCGGCGACGAATCGTCCCCCACCACCCCTGTCCCTACCACTCCACCACATCAGACCGATATTTCCCACGTTAATGCACGATCCCGGTCTACCCAACGCAGCGCCGACAATGAGCCTGTCACACCCTCAGCGAAGCGCCCCTTGTCCCGCCGTCGCAATCTCATTACGCTCAACGCCGATGGCAAGACCTTTTCCCTATTGCCTCAGGGGCAGCGGGCCGGAACCCAAGGAGACCACGCCTCTAGCACCGCCCCAAGGTTATCACTTTCGACTACCGCCTCGCATGAGCGCCTTTCAGACGCCTTCAGTGAAAATCGTCCCAGCTCAACCGTGACTTCCTACCCGGATCAAAGCTTCGCTTCCACGTTGACCCCGGCATCCTCGACCACGCAATTAGCAGGTGATTCTATTACCAGCACAGCCGGGTCTTCGTCGTCTCCCTGGAACTATCGAATGGTTGGTGGCCTACGCAAGGTTCCCAACACTCCCGATCTCAAGCAGAAGCAGAAGTCGACGCTACTCTACCCGGAATCCGATCCAGCCTCATCGTACCTGTCATCCCCATCAGGTTCTCGACTCGCGCCGCTGCCAGAGGCGCCAATCGCTGCTGATTCGTCTGAATCCTCCGAGCCCCACGATTTGCAGCCCAAAACCTCCTTTCAGTCATCCGTCACTGCGTCCACGACTTCAGAAAAGACGAACTACAAAGTCTACGGCTCCAATTCTCCCCAAGCGACCGACACCGACAGCGTTTTACATGCGCCATCAACGACCTCCGAGACAACAAACTACAAGGTATTCAGTTCCAGCTTACCTTCTTCTCCCGAGCGGGAGGAGTCGTTGCAACCGCCATCCTCGAGCCACTCCAACTACGTAGTCCTTGGCCGGTCTTCGCCTCCAGAACCATCTTCTGCCGAGAGAAGTCCTCCAAAAACGGCCGATAGCGACCAGAATTACGTTGTGCTCGGCGCATCGTCCCCAGCACCATCTTCCGTCGCCTCTAGCCGCCGTTCCCGTATCAGGCCCGAGTACTCGCAGGAAAGCCTTTTGGTGGCTCCGCTGAAACCCTACAAGGCGAAGAAGAGGACCAACGAAAGGTTTGGATACTACAAGTCGCGTTCGAGGGATTCCTTGCGTCGTGCAGCGTCGGTGAAGTCGATTTCCGGCTCGCTCACTCTCGAAGCAGCCCAGAGTTTCCTCGCCTCGCCTGCTGCGTTCTATCGATCCCGTGTTCTGGCCAGCCAGCCAGGTCGGCAGCCTGACGCGCAAGCTGCGCCAACGGAACCCGCCCCCATTTCTGTTCCTGCTGAATCCCATATGACCACTCATCCTCACCAATGGAGCTCACAACTATCCACCGTGATTTCGGAGAGTGAGGGGGACAGCGAGCCTCCCTCACGCTCCGTGTCCCCATGGTCTGTACCTGGGAGACGGGGTAGCATACCGTTGAGCAGCCATAGCCGGCAGATGCTTAGCATTTCGTCGTCGCTAGCTGCAAATGAGGAGCGCTCACTCTCTCACTCAAGATCCTTCACGGACTCTCTGGAACGCCCTCAAGCTACACACAGCAGAGGGAATACGCTTCGCATGGTCAGCGATCGAGACGAACATGGCGACGGTCTGGCAGAGCTGAACCAGCTACATCAACGGCCTTCGCGGACCGGCCTTTCAAGCTTCTTCTCGAGTTCCTCGTCAGACCGGAACCTCCACTCCTCCAGTAGCTCCCGTGCGAACAGTCTGAACTCGGCGTCCATTCCCGCTTGGGCCAAGTAAGTCGACCCGATGTCCTGCAGGAAGCATTATGATACCGGTAATTGGACCTCAAGCTAACATACTCGCCTACCTGTAGATTCTACTACGGAAGCGGAGAACGTCGATTCCTTGCCAGCTCTGGAGACTCAATTATGTCAGATCCGAATGATAGCCGGCCACCAAGCTCATTCCAAAGCCGTTCCCCCAGCGTTGAACAGCTTGCCATGAACATCTATAGCCCCAGGCGACGGCCAAGGGAGGTAAACCTTGCCAACCCTCGGCCACTGTCAGATGTCGGCTCCATGGAAATCGGCCAAGCACCGTTCACAGACAACCGAATGCGCAGCGGGTTAAGGAAGAAGACATCCAGCATCTGGTCACCCCACTTGCGGCGTGATCAGAGGGCTGGTCGTCACAGCATCTGGGAACCACCTTCTATGACGTGGTCAGCCGAGACGAGCATGCTGGGGAAGCGAAACGTGCAGGTTGCTTTCTTCGCTCTGGGATTCATCTTCCCATTCGGTGAGACACTCCTACTCAACGGCACTGTATTGACACAAGGCTAATCTGAGCCAGCATGGATGATTGCTGCCTTCCTTCCGCTACCCCCGGACCCTCAAGCTGAGATGGCCGAGCGCGACCCACGATCAAGCCTGTTGGACGAAGAACGAGACCTTCCTCGGCGAGTTGCAGCGGTTGACGAGACTCTTTTCCAAAGCGCCCGTTGGTGGCGTGCTCTTAATCGGTACATGTCCGTCATTGGTCTTCTAGTCGTTGGCGCCATTGCGGCTCTCGTTGTCGTCGGCGTAAAGCAAGGCTGGGGCCAAATGGTGTAGCTGCCTACTCCATGCCGCCTCCTTTCTAACTGTATGCACCACCTCAAATAAAGGGATATGGTGCCCGAACACGCCGCGGTACACAGCTTTCGGCCCCAGCAACAAACGAGTATTCACCAAAAGCATCATCGGCCGTTGAAATCCAGCGCATCGGCAGCACGATTGGGGTAACGACTTAATCCCTTCACGAATCTACGACATCATTTATTCTTTTTCTCATATAGACATGCACATACCAAGTTTTCTCGGCGGCCGACCATCTGGCCATTTCTATCATCTAGTCTAATGGCTCCGCACAACAACGACGGTTGCTAGCCATGCAGTTCGCTGTAATTGTACACCTGGCCAGACTGGGCCATACCCTTGATGACAACATGATGGCATTTCCTTCTGATTTTCTCTCGTTGGGCGACTTGGATTGCTTGACGATACCCCCCTTGGCTTTACACGGGAGTCAAACATGCTGGGACTGGTGTTGGGTGATTGGAGACGACTGAGCCAGACAGTGGCATCACGTTACTATTGTGGGATATAGACATCATATTATAATGGTTTAGTTTTAGATCTGCATAGCCTGAAATGTCTAATGACCTGCCCTTGTAGGGCAGCTTGCAACCCAACGCCTCGCCCATTTCGCGACTTTGACAACGGCTCTAGGCCCATTAACGCTGTTTTCATGTATGCAGGAACAAAGGCCGCTTTGGATGAAGACGGGAACAATTGTCTGCAAAGATGCCGCCCTTTCCCAATCTTCAAGTAGCTTTGCTTCTCTGTCTGGCTTCCACTTCGGCTTTGATTTCCTCCATGGCCTCGTCGATCTCTCGCTGAGGGTCCGCCGACACGCCCAAGACTGGTTCCCGGCCTGTAAGACTGTCTTGGCTCAAGGTACGGGTCAGCTTGGCACCGCCTTTGCCTTGACGTGCCTCGAGTTGCTTGCGAAGGATTTGTTTTGCCGGAGAGGCAAAGAAGGCCATGGAAAGCGCAGTGCCGACAATGGTATAGAAGTAAACACGAGCCCAGACCTGGACCGAGCCGGAGAACTCTAGAACAAGGAATGGAGTGACAACGAAGGACATGCCGATTTGAGTAACGAAAAGCGAGAGGACGTCGTAGTAGACCTTGTTGGAAGTAGGCGCACCACTGGCCGCGTCGAGGAAAAAAGCGCGAAAGTAGCGGCGATAGTCTATCATAAATGTTAGTCGATCATGCACTCTTCTAAGCCTACAGTAGCTCTCTCGTAGGTGTACTTACTCTTGGCTACAGTTTGAATGAAGCTGGCTAGGATGAAGCTCATGTAATAGCCAGGATAAAAGCCGTGCCAGAGGGCACTAGTACTGAATGTGAGAAGGCTGGCACGGAATCCTGGCTTTTTCCCAATAGGCGTAACCCGAAGGTATACGTAGTTCCTCAACCAATTATTGGTGTTGATGTTCCAGTTGCCAAGGTAGGCGCGCGTGTTCTGGGCTGTCTCGACGCCCCAGGGGTTGATGTTTTGTAACCTGTTCCATGATACTTTACCGGTGACAGGATCAACACCGTTATAGCCCAGGCCGGCCAAAATACAAGCGCCCTCGGTCAGGCACCAAACTCCATAGTATTTCAAACGAGCGGTAAATCCGACCATGTGAAGAATCCATACCCTGTGGAAGAACCCATGATCCATATACGAAGGACTCGTTAAGTAGGTGATTGGGTAGTAACCAGAGAGAATCATGAAAAGTGCAATCCACCCCAGACCACTGGCCGCTTTCAAAGTAGCAGGTGTCCCACTGCGAGGGATCTTCCTCTTCTTCCTGACAGGAGGCTTCTTTGAGGGGTCGACTTGGGCCGGAAGGTCAAACATTGTAGTGTCTATCCATTTGCGATAGTCGGTGTAGTCAAAAGCAGGTCCGGCGAAGAGCGAAGGAAAGAAGAGTACGTATCCAGCATAGTCCATCATACTGGGTAGCTCGATCAGTCTTCTCTCTTTCTGGTACTCGGATACCTGGTCGTCCGGGAGCTGACCGTCCGCGACGTTCCAGCAGAAACCGCTAAGCTTCATCAAAAGCACCATCTGGGCGCCAGTGATATCGACGGAAGACGGGCTATTGGCCACCTGACGAGCGATGTGACTTATGGACATGTGGCCCATGAGAAATGTGAAGCCGACCCATGGCATGAATGGGCTGGTACGCATATACTTCGCAATGCTGTAGATGCCGGCAGAGGCGATAGCAAGGGTGCGTACTCCATCCCACAAATCGAAAAGCCCGACCAGATAGAAAGTAGAGGTGCTAGTCCAAGAGTCGAAGCGTCAGCCACAAGACCGGTTGGAATAGACAAAGAAAACAGCTTGGGTATCTGCTGGGTAGCATACCTTATTATGAAGAGGTTTTTGAGGTCAGGCCTGGAGTCGGGAACTCGTTTGAGCAAGCCGGCTAACGGATATGATATGAGGAACGAAAAGACGAGCTTGACTGGGAAGTCGTGGTGTCAGTGTTGGTGCTCTATTAGGGACGGGGGTTCGTAGAGCTTCGCTATGTAGCCGAGCTTGATGGGAGGGACCGACGTTCGTCTGGAGATGCGCCGATGCGAGAAGCAAGAAGCTCGAAAGCTACAGAGGCAAGCAAACGTTAGCAAGAGAGGCTCCAGTAGTGGAAGAAGCCGGCATAGGCAGAATGAACAAGTCGTTAGTCGAGGGTGCATATTACGTACGCTTATGAATGAAGGGCAACATGTTGGCTAGAACTGCCGCTGCCACTTATCGAATAGATCCGAAAACGACGACAAAGTGCAAGGCTAACTTGCAATAGGAAAAGGCGATGAAGATACGCTTAGTCCATATCTTCTTGGAGATGAGTTAGAGGAGAAGCGAAACACCGAGAGGTGGAGGCTCGGAGAGATCGAGTTTGCGCCGAGGGAAAATAAGCAATTAGTTGGGGAGCTGTCGAATGAGGGTTTTTGACTTTGGTGATGGATGTTGGGATCATGTGGCGGCGTGCCAACTTCGGATGGCGGGACGGGAGCTAAAGCAGGCAAGAGACAGCTGGTTATGCCAACACAGCTATGATTGCGGATCGTCCTAAGAAGAAAAATCGAACAGCAGTTTCGTGTGACGGCTGAAATGGCACGTGGACCTGTTGGCGATGGGCCATTCTTAGATCGCAAGGGGGAGGGGACGGTAAAGGCATCCCCTGGAACCCCCACTAACTAAACGATGCGAACGGATTTTCTTGTCTCCCCTCCTCCAGAAGAAACCTTAAACTTCATAAAGAGAGAAGAGTGCAACGAGAGGAATTTTAGTTCATCGTCAATCCTTTTTTTTTTCTCTAAAAATTAAGAAGGATTTCTTAAAATAGTAAAGAAAATATTATTTATTTATAAGTATTTTTTATTATTTTTTATTATAAATATTTAACTCATAAAATGAGTTGTAACACGTATACTTTGTATATTATTAATAAAAAAAAAGAAAACTTTAAATTATTAGTTTAATAAACCTATACTACTCTAAGTTTGCCTTGAGTGGCTTTCCGAGGCTACGCTAGAGGAAGCTTGGAGGAGTGTCAGGATGCTCTCTGCCACATGCCTCAGCTGCCCACCCTAACGTACATACTGTGGAGTGTGATGTCACGGGTCCTGATGGCTGGTAACTACCTCAGGTATGTTCTACTTCATACAGTTCTACAGGGGAGCCCAACGTGCATCAGTTCCAAGCTTTTCAACAAGAACCACCGTTGCTTCCTCCCTCACCTAAGATGGGGAAGTTGCGTGACGAGTTACTTTAGAGTAGCCTAGCAGCTCAGGTGCGGAAGATACCTAGGTAGTCAAGCCATCTGACAAACACATGCCGATGGCTCGCGTTTCTCTCTTGAGGACCGTTTACTACTTCAAACCCCACGAAGCAAGCTGCACTCCTCTAAGCTTTGACGTGGGTACGTGGGGCGATGTCAGCGTTGCAATTTTCTTCAACCGATTGGGGCGCCTCGGTATGTTCAGCATCTCAACCAAACTCACCGCCACATCTTGTTGAATCAAATCGTTAAAATGGATCGCAGATATGTCGCCCCCCTGCCGACCAATTCACAACGGGAATGTTGTCAGGGCCCTCGCGGAATCAGTGTCATGGCATTACAACATTGCTACATCGTCCATAGTACTGTACTATCGTTCCACATTCATTTCGTCAGCAAACGAAATGCTGCAGTATTCTAACACGCCTTTTCGTATCTTGTCATCTCGTGCTTCTCCTTGTTCCGCTCTTCCGCCCACACCTCAAAGGCTGAAGCATGCATCGCGGCACAGGTTTTCTTGTCTATGCTGATCTCAAGAGCAGAGCGAAGCCGAACCTGGCCGAGTTCACATGCTATTGTGCCCTCGGCCATCACTCCTGCACGGCTGTCCAAAATGGGATAGATGACGGCCGTCATCAGCGTGCCACCAACACAAGGTTCTCACGCGGATAAGCTACGCCCAAAACTTGCCTCTATTCCGGCAACCTTTCCATACTGGCAGCCACTACTTGTTCGCATCCCTATTGCTTTGCGAGCTCGCGCTCATAGGTTGTGTCGTCGGCAATGACATCTTGGAAGCCTCCGTCTGACGGATTCTTGCCCACGCGTAGACAATACCGCTGATGAAGCCAACAACAATAGCCGACACACTGCCAAATGTGACAGGGGCGTCGAAAAAGACCAGACCACTGATGGCAATGGGAAGCTTGTTGAGTGCGCCAACCACAGAGTATGTCGTTGACGAGGTGACACGAATGCACCATGCAGAGCAGTAGGAGATGAAGATGGCGCAGAGTCCCGAATAGATCATGCCGACAAACAGGCTGTTGCGCGACTCGACGGGGAAGTTCTTCTCGATGTTTGCCGAAGACCAGTCCTCGGCAAGGAATGTGCAAACGATGAGGACGGGAATCGTCAAAAGGTTGTTGTAGAACATGGCTTTATAACACACTCGTCAGTAAATTCTGCCAATTAGGAACGCCTGGATGTTCAGGGTAACCCACTGTCCCAGTCCTTGAAGTTCATCTTCTTGATAACTTTGCGCATGCCCAGCACATAGGCCGCAGTGCAGCAAACGTTCATGCCCATCCACGCGTACCCAGCGTTCAAGGTCGAAACGGCGGCAGAGGCTTCGGCAGACTGCGATCCACCTCCAAGAGCATGCTGGACATCAGCCCAGGCGGCAACAACGGAGCTGAGGACCATCAGGCCAAACGAGAGAAGGGCAAGAGGGCTGACACTGCCGCCGAACCACAAAACCTCGCCGTACGCGATGACGATGATGGTCAAGTTCTTGAAGATGGTGTATACCGGCACAGAGAGAAATTGCAAGGCCTTGGTGCCCGTGTAAATCATGCCAACCAGGAGGAGTGCGATAGGGAACCCTGCAGATAGTAAGCTTTGGCCGATGCCTGCATCACGTGAGACGAGACCAACATTTCTTTGCCTTGTCAGTGTCGAATGGCGCCAGGTTCGTAATCATTCCGAGGTTCTTGCACACGATAATGGTAAGGATGCACACGATGGACTGGATAAGAGGGCTGAGTTAGAGGTAGTCGCGACTGGGGATTTGCCTTTGGATAGAACGCACCTGGACAGCAAGGTAAAGAAAGTTGAGGTTCCAGAACTGGCCTGAAACGACGTATTTGTTGACGACGGTCATGCTGATGGAAGAGAAGCAGTAGGCGAGAATGGCAGCGCCGGGACTGTTGTCAATCTTGCTGATTGGCGATCCAAGAGTAGGACGCGGCCTTGGGGGAGGCCGAGCCAGAAAGCCATCCTTCTCTCCAAATGACTCGGAGGAGCGGAGCTCGTAATCCTCGTTCTTCTTGTCCGTCATGATGGCGCTCGGTGTACAACTGTCTGGACGGTATATCAAATTGGCAGTAGAAGCAAGCTGGCTTCAATAGGTTTGGCGCAGGATGCAGCCGTGGAGCTTGCGAATGCGCCGAGATTCGGTAACGGGGAGAGTCGTGTATGACCGGCCTCGCAACTGCGACGAGGTAGAAGGTAGTGATGGGTTGATCGAGTCGTAGCTGCGGTCCTTCACGCTTCGTTGTTTGCGGACGCGGTGATCTGGCTCTAGGGGAAGCGTTGTTGAAGATCTGGGGTTAAGAAAGAAAACGGAGGTTAAGGGGGTCAAAGGCTCTTGGGCATTAATTAGAACGGACGGGACGGGAACGCAGGGGAACACGCGTGCGCCTACCCATCAAGGGTCACGGAATTTCACCTCAGATTGGATGGCCTTAGTGCTTTCTACAGGCCAGGTGGAGAATCTCGGGGCACGTAAGCTCTCCAAATACCGCCCGCGACAGCCCAGTCAAGGAGCCATGAAAGTATCTTTGGTAAGAAGGGATGAATGCAAGGGACCACTAGACACCTGGCAGACCCAGGGGTGCACCATTCCAATTCGACCACAGGGCACACAGTAAGGGAAAGTGCCACGCTGCCTCACCCTGTCCAGTTTTTTTTGTCTGGGTTTTTTTTCCTTTGCTTTTTTCCTTGTTCTTCAGAATTACATAAGGCAAGACCGCAAGGTTGGCCCCTGGCGCTGTCTTTCGGGATGGTGCCTACCTATCCGTATATGCCTAGGTACGTGAGATAGCTCCCAAGGTCACCTCAACCCCAGGGGCCAGTGTACCGACCTGAACGAAGGCCAGCGTTTTTCTCGTCCCGTCAAGAAAGAATTGTATGATTTCTGCGCAAGCCAAGATAATTTGACAACCAAAGTCGCCAAAAGTTCATTACGTTGCCAAGGTACCAAGTTCCTTCAATCGCGCTCTCTTTCAGTTATGCTTGGCACCGAAACTGCAAAGTGAATGTCAATTGGCTGACGCATGGGTAGTCGTACCCCAAGCTCATGTACCTGCCCTGTGCTTTCCTTCTTCCTCGACTCGAAATAACCTCGGATCCATCATCAGTCCACCCCCACTATCGCCATTAACGACCTGAACTTCATCCCTCTTCCCGTCCCAGCTCCCGCATTTCCAATTTAATACCGTGGCGCCGATATCGAACCCATCGCATTTGTCGCCGGGGCTCGCATTTAAATTTCGGAAGAAGAGGCCAATCCGAAATCACGCCCTGAAACGGGGATTCTCTCACAATGCTCTTCATCGGTCTTACGGGCTCCATTGCAACGGGCAAGTCAACCGTTTCCTCCATCCTCTCCAAGCCCCCTTACTCCATTCCCCTCATCGATGCCGATGTCCTCGCGAGGAAAGTCGTTGAACCCGGATCAAAGGGATATGCCGCCATCGTGAAGCATTTCCTCCCCACAACCCCGGACCTCCTCGTCCCGGTCTCAGAGACCATGCCCGAGGCCGGGCCCGACGGCAAAGGTCGACCACTCAACCGACCCGCCCTCGGCAAGCGCGTCTTTGGCGACACGGAAGAGCTCAAAAAGGACCGTGCCGTACTCAACGGCATTGTTCACCCCGCCGTTCGCTCTGAGATGTACAAGGCCATTCTCCGTGCCTATGTCACCGGTCACTGGGCTGTTCTCCTCGACGTTCCCCTGTTATTCGAAAGCAGCCTCGACCGCCTCTGCGGCACCGTTTTTGTCGTTGCTGTCAAGGACCCCGAGGTACAGATGCAGCGTCTCATGGCCCGCGATCCTCATCTCAGCCGCGAAGACGCCGAGAACCGCGTGCTCAGCCAGACGGATGTGAGGCTCAAGGCACGGAGATGTGAAGCCAGAGGTGAGGGCAAGGGCGTCGTACTATGGAATGATGGCTCCAAGGAAGACTTGAAGAGAGACATCGGCGAGGCTATCCGTCACGTTCAGGCCTCCAGCCCAGTATGGTGGAGTTGGCTGCTTCTGGCGTGTCCACCAGCAGCGGCAGCCCTTGGGGCCTGGCGGTTTTGGCAAAATGTTCGCATCAATAAGGCATGGTCGGAGCAGGAAAGAATTGAGAAGGCAAAGTTGTAGGCTGAGCCTCAACAACACAGTACAGTTCCCGGTGACCTCATCACCAGGCTCACTCATGATCTTGAATGAAGGCAAGCGTCTCATGGGTTTTCGGTCACATATGCGAGCTTCATTGCCCCGTTTCATCGCTGCGGCATGTCTAAAAGCACAACTGCTTGCTGAATAAGACGGGTGAGAAGATGGCACCCAGAGGCGTCCAATGGCGAGGCTCCCAGATGTTGGCAACAATACGTACTTCCAAGGCCCTCTCCCGTCGTCAGCCGCCCTGTAGAATCGAAGATGACGTGTAGGCAGAGATAAGAGTACCCCCAACGCTGGTTCTTCAAAGCAGGCGAAAGAGACTCGCGTGTATCATGGGGACAACTTCAAGGACCTGCAAGTACGGACGGGTACTTTGCCAACGTCAGCTTCATTCAACAGATGCCTCGTCTGTCTGGTCTTGCAGTCTTCTCTTCTGTGATTTGTTTTCGCTTTCCATCACTTCAAAGGGTTTCCCCTGCTCTCTTGTAGAAGAATGTCCCCGATGTCTGGCAAAGCTTGAAGCACCGAGGACTCTTTGCGCATTGGAGTCTACGAGAGACAGCACCCACCACTCGCATCTTTGCCGTTGACACAGAAAAACAAAGAACTCAAAATTCACTCAGACTCAGTACACAACTCCTACGCAGTTACCTGGCCAGGCGCATCCTGCCCAGAGTCGGCCATGCTTTCATCTTGATCTGCTTGCGCCTCCTTTCCCTCCCCTTCATCAGGCGGAGCGGGGAAATTTAGATGTTTCCAATCCTCCAATTCTTCGGTGACGGACCGCAGCCTATCACGAATACTCTCTATTGCATAGCTCCCCAGAAGGAGCCGCAGCGGGGGATACGAGCAATGAGCTAGTTGCCAGACGAGCTCCGCACACTTGACGGCGCTTGTCGGCTGCCGGTCACCGAGCCACTGAACCATTCTTTTGGCATGCAACGCTGGTGATGTTGCCTGTGCGTAGGCATCGCTCGCAGGTTTGATGAGGAAATGACCCCAGGTTGGTAACGGTGTTGCAAGGGTATCTGGCTCGTCCCTTCTGACGAACCCCGGCTCTACGAGTGTTGCCTTGACGTTGAATGAGTCTGTCTCGTAAAGCATAGCTTCTATGAGTCCCTCGACGGCGTATTTGGTAGCACAATAGGGGCCGAGGCCTGGAACACCCAGAGCTCCTGACGTCGAGCTGAAAATCAGGTAGCGGCCGCCGTTCTGTTGGCGAAAGTAAGGTAGGCTGGCTTGGATAATGTTCAAAGTGCCCATGAAGTTCGTCTCGAACTGATTGCGGATTTCGTGCTCATCCTGGTCCTCACATGCTCCAATTACGCCATAGCCAGAACAGTTGGCTACGACGTCAAATCGCTGGAACCGCTCCAAGGTCCGTTCAATGACCCGCGCTACCGAGTCTCTCGCTCGAACGTCACACAGCATCCCCAAGCAATTTTCATTGTCCTGCTGTGCTACCATTTCCTCCGGTGTCGTCTCGAACACACGGCCCACGGAAGTGACGAGATCTCCTTTGGACAAGGCGGACTTGACAAGAGATCTACCCATGTGGCCGGTTCCACCAAATACCTGCACAGGAAGTGCTCAGTCAATGTCAGAAAGTAACATTAGGGTGTCCCATCACTTACAACCCAGACCAACTGCTTCCTCTCGCCTTCAAGTTGTGGTGGATCACAGCTAGCTGGGAGTTGAAGCTTCACTCTTGACGGTCCATCCGCGGGAGTCGCGCTGTTCTCGCTACACACGTCCATCGCGCTCGTTTCACAGTCGCTGGGTGGTATTACGAGCTCTACGTAGCTCTGCTGATAAGCTCGCGGCCTCTTGGCAGTCGGTATGGAAGCAGTCTTCAGAGGGGCAATCGTTGCAGCTCGTTCGTTACGGAAGAGAGCTATTAGATGCAATATTGATGGTAAGATGGAAGAAAAGGGAACGGTAAAATGCCGGTGGCTTTAGGAAGTGAAGATATCCGAGCCATTAAATCAATATAGAGCAAGACGAGGTATGGAGAAGAAACGTAAATCGAATGCGAGATTTCAGCTTGCTCAGTGCATCCACCTGTGAGACGAAGTGAAGGTCGAGGTAAGAATTGGTGGCCTTGGGAAAGGCCTACCCGGGCGAGGTACTTTTGCCTGCTCCAATGATACCGAGACCGATGAGGGTGTGGTTGTTGAAGGCCGCAAGGTGACCAGTGCTGATTGCTGGATGAACCCGGTGATTTCGGTAGATGAGAACTGGTATATCCGTACCCCACTTCCCCATATCCCCTTCTTAATCCCGGTACATGCATGAGCGGCTGGGTAACCGTATAACGGTATGTCTCTATGCATCTAAAATTGGCTTCTGATGCCAAGTTTCACGATCCTCAGCCACGGGATGGATGTCGGATGATTCTCGCGTCGCCTCCTCATGACCGCCAAGGTAGGTAGGAAGGTAGTGCTGGATGAGCCACTCCCATTCTCCGCTGGCTACTGGTTCCAGCAGAGCAGTGATTGTTCTTACGGGTGAGCGGCCGTTCACCGTTGGCATCTTGGGGTTGGCAAGCCGGTCTTCATTTGATGGAGGAATTAGACAATAGGGACAAATCTCGTCAGATCTCGTCATATTTGCGCTGTGCAGTAGATGGAGATGTCAGCATAGGCATTACCCAGTCTAGCGCCTGTCTGCCAAGTCGTACATTAGTCAAAGAGGTGCCTTCGTAACGAGACTTGCTGTACTCGGAAACATGATTAGAGTGCAAAGGATCCCGCAAGTGGCACGAATCATCTCCATACTCCCACTAGATATCTTATCCACCTGCTTCGCTCATGCCCACAGACTCTCCCCCATGTACCGTGTCCTTAGCTGGTTGTTCATGCTGACACGCCGTTCTGAAGGTATTGCTCAACATATTCTTTCCTGTGCGGGTTCACATCAAGGTCCTTCGTCCTGTTCAAAGGGGTCCACTTGGGCTCATCCTTGAAGAGCCTCATTGCCTTGATGTACTTTGGACTGTTAGCAAACTACATAACCTCTGAATACATGCACTGCTTACGTTAGACTCGTCGGTTGTGAAGCGGTGGTAGATGCCAGGAGGCAGGATAATTAAGTCGTCCTGCCAATGGTCAGCTGGTTGCAGCGCCATTTGCCGACGAACATGGCGATGTTACCTTCTCAACACGGATACGAACCCAAGCGTCATCGGCGCTTCTGACGTCAAAGAAACCTTGACCGTCACGAACATAACGAATTTCCTCATCCTCGTGCAAGTGCTCGTGGAAGAAAGATTTGACCTTTTCCTCATAGATCTCGCCCATCTTCTCTGGCGACACAACAATCTCGTCTCGGTTCCTATAGCCGCGGTCCGAAGCCAGCTGGTTGACACCATCCAGATTAGGGATTTGGTGGTAAAAGACACCAAGCTTCTTCAGATCTTCGACAGTAACCTCCTTGCCAGAGTCATGTGCCAGGCGCTGGTCACCCTATGGTGTCGTTGATAGTCAGTGATGGATTACTACCGAGGACTCGAGCTTTGGTCATTTTAGACATTTTAAAGAAAGGCTTCTTCTCAACTTACATCAAGGCCGTCATACCAATAAGCCCTCATGTTGGTGAGTGAGTAATGTATCGCAAGCCTGAGAGCTGTGCGTAAATGAGACTCAGAGGTTTTGTATGCCTGTATAGATGGCACTGTGAGTACTTTGTATCAAGAGTATTCCGCAAAGTAGAATATCAAAAGGTTCTGTGGTCAGCAGTATTGAGTTGGTGTTATTTCGATTGCGCTTTGGAGGCAGTAGGTAATGAGGTCGGTTTCACTTTTTGTATTTGAAATGACGCAATTGGCTCAGAAGGTGGGGTCATCAGAAGAGGTGCTGGAAATGAAGCGTGTCGTTGTCCGTCCGGCCTTACCTCTACTTGTACATAGATAAGTCAGGTTGCACGTGGGCGGGGCTGCCATAAGGTAGGTCATTCCGGCTGGAACCCACCATCGGCGCGCGGCAGCCCGGCCTTCCTTTGCGACCGCGCGTGGAAGTCAAGACGGCCAGAGTCAGAGCCAGAACCATCGCCCGAAATGTGAATTGGCTATCTCAAGGTACTTGAGGAAAAAGCAATGCTAGTCAAAGCATCTTGAATCACGACACATTAGAATGGGAAACACACGTTGCAAAGAGAACATGGATAACAATACATGACATTCTTACGTTGACCTGTGCTTTCGCCTGGGACAACTGTCGGGCGTGGAAGTCAGCTCTAAGGTATCTATGCTTATGGCGAATTCAAGCCTGAGGTGCTTCGTTGATGAAAATCATGCATGGGTACAAAGACATATGCCGCTTAATGGCGATATTGATACCCCAACGCCAAGAACAATGCAAATGTTGCTAATCCCACCAGCTTTTCCCATCTTCTTTTTCGTCCCCAATAGATTTGCCCAACATGTCCCATCATCGAACGTCAGCAGCAAGCTCTGGCCCTCCGGCAATGGCAATCTCATTGTTGATGCCATCAGCTGTTTCCTCCACCTGACGTCTCTCAAACAGCCTCCTCCACCAGCTTGGAGGGTCGAATGGACGCGACCCATTGTGCAAAGGCGGGTATACATCAGTAAAGAAGTACCAGATGTGACCGATCACCACGCCCATAATTTCATCCTTGGGAATAGAGCCATGGAGGATAAGACTGAAGGCCATCAGAACCCACGGTAGGTAGGGGGCTGTGAAGACCAGCAGTCCAAGAAAGCTCAATCTCGTATCCGGGTTACGCCGCGACCAAATATAAACGAGAGTTGAAGAGAGTGGGTGGCCCAAGAACGGCATCGAGACCATTGGCGACAAGAGAAGAAGACTCGCCATGGAATAAACGAGCAACCAGGAAAAGTGTGCTGGGGAGCGGCCAGAGGACTCTTCGAGTAACCGCGCGTAGCGCTGAAGGAAGTAGACATGGAATAGCAGATCGAGCGAGAATGGGCCGAAGTAGAGGAACGTAGTAAGAAGACGCCAGTACTATGAGGACATTCAGAGTGATCAGCAATAGTTCGAATGTCTTCGGGGGAGAGAACTAGACTGTGGTGGGGTTGCAATCATCGCCAACATATCAATAAATGAAGAATGGAAGAATTAGGCGAACCTGGGATTTGGCGAAGACAGCGCGAAAGCTGTAAAACAACTGAAAGGGAGTGACCATTTGACATTGTACGAGAGCGCTAGTCAGAACGGTAGCAGTCGTCCACCATCTGGTGCAAATGGGCATTTCCCAGAACCACGTCTCAAGGGGGAATCGGCCCCCGTCACCCATCATCTGGTCCATGCTGCGTAACGAACTGGGATGAGAGTGCTTCAGAGGCGAAGATTCGTCGGCAAAGAAGTTGCCCTCATTGCCTGCCGTGCCGGAGCTTTGCGGAAATCGAAGGGCGTGAAGTGCCGTCTAAGTATCTTGGTCGTCTGAGAGTGTAGCTAGGTTGAGGGGTTGCAAAAGCGTCGGGGAGGACGGATAACACTACGTTTGCGATGCTTGTCGATAGAAGAGACCAAGCGACTGGCCGTGACTACACGGAGGGACGAAGTTGAATCGGCAATAAATCGTCAGATACGTCGCCGGCTTGGGAAGTGACTGAGGTTAGAGAGGGTGGGAGCACGACTGCATGTAGTCAAGTTACAAGTCTGGAGAGGTGGCCTCTGAGTAACGTAGGTAGGTACCTAGCGGGTAGGAATTACCTAGGTAGGCACGGTCGGCACCTTGAGCGCTGACGAACGGTTGATGCCGGTCAATTTATTGCTGGAGGTGAAGTGGGGAGTGGGGACAGCTTGGCAACCAGTACTTAGCAACAGTAATCAGCCCCTTGTAAACTGGTGCCGTTCCTTCCCACAAGGTACCTTATTCGCGTACTTGTATATCCACCTCACATTACCTAGCGCTTCACGTGCCATCAGTAAACCCACAGCTATGGAAAGGGACCGCATCAGCCTCACAGTGCCGACTCACACAGACAGCCCTGCACAGCAAGTGGTGCAGTACGCGTAAAGTGGCCTGGCGTAGCCAGGACACGCGTTAAGAAACACGCGAAACGCGTCCCGATCGATTTCCCTTGAAAATCGCGGGGCTGGTAGCGCACTACGGTTCAGGTCCTATCGGAATGGGAGAGTAGCTCAATTACTTTCGTTATTCCTTCAACACCACCATTATCACCTCCGAGCTACAATCTCGTCCCGGCTTCTAATCCGTCAAACATAATAGATGAAGCTCAGTTGACCTTCATTATTCTGTCCCTACTGTCGCAATCCCAATTGAGACTTTTCCTACGCTGCCCTCACTCTCGCAACCTTGTCTTGGCTATCGCACTTGTCCGGCCCTCCTTTGGACATCCACTTCGCCCCTTTAGTCAAAATAAGGATCCCCCGAGCAGACCTCTGCAAAACAGACTTCGGAAAACGCTATTCATCGCCATGCCTCCGAAGAAGAGACAGTCGGACGTTGTGCGTCGCAAATCGCGACAGAGCGATGTCCAACGTAAAGATTATGCTTCCCCGGTCGTGTAGGACGGGTGCTGACGAGGAGCAGCTGGCGATCCGATCCCCAATCGAGGCAAGCGACGCTACAGACCAGGGACGGTTGCTCTTAGGGAGATTCGGAGATACCAAAATGGCACCGACCTTCTGCTGCGACGTCTTCCCTTCTCACGTCTAGTACGTTCAGACCCAGTCAATACTCTAGGACACGACAGGCTAACCGTTCTCTCTAGGTTCGTGAAATTGCCGAGTCGGTAAGGCCTCGAGGCGAAGCTATGCGATGGCAGTCACAAGCAATACAAGCACTGCAAGAAGCTGCCGAGGCTTTCTTGGTTCACCTTTTCGAAGATACAAATCTCTGTGCAATCCATGCTAAGAGGGTGACCATCATGCAAAAGGATATCCAGCTTGCAAGGCGCATTCGCGGCGTATGGGGTGGCCTCGGCTGAAGTTACCAAGGTTAACGAGGACTATTGATATATGGGGCTTCTGACGATCACCGAGCCGCCTTGGTGAATACCTGGGGTCGCTCTCTGGGCGTTGCTCGCTATATTTGCGAACACGCGGGATCCTCCCTACGAGGTGTATAATTTCTCTGGCTTCTGTTTCTGTTATATCATGGTTGTGCGGATACCCTTTCTGGGATGGCGGTTTCTTCTTGAGATTTTATAGGGGGTGGGGAGTTCGTGGCGTTGGCGATGCTTCTTTGTTACTTGAATGTCAACACCTTTTGGGATGGCCATGCGGTGTGACTTGAAGGAAGGTTACGTCAGAGGACAGGAAAACACCAAGGCACTGAGGCACCAATCCTTGACGCCCTCGAGTAACGAGGTCCTTCGAATTAGCAACCAGACATAATCATCAGTGGAAACACATGCAACAGCGTGATCAAGTTGCTTGGCATGTCTCCAAGTACCTCGATACCAAGCTTAGTTAGGTTCCAACTCACGGTTCCTAAGGTGCCTAGGTTACGTAGCTAATGGCGCATCGGCGATATAGGTCACCAAGCTTGCCAGGTATACCTGGTTCCTCAACTCGTTTCCGCAATCTACGCTCCAGACTGCCACGTTTATAACGCACGTCAGGGGCGTATCTGAGGTTGTCATGTTGGAAGTCGCCCGACCAAAATGCCTGTATTCAACTGTACCTCATTCGCAAGGTCATGGAATGTACCGTGCCTCAGGTGCTTATGTAAAGAAGAGCAACAAAAGTATGAGACTAGTAGTGCCTTACCTAATGGAGGGTAAATCAATGATCGTAAGGGCACGTAAGAAAGGTGCATAATGAGCGTGCCAAGGTACGACTCTTCGTTTACAAACTTATTCTCAATTAGTCTCTCCCACCTTCCTCCACCACATGCAGCAACGTTGGTTGACTTCGCTTTCCATCTGAGCTGAAACGTTCCCATGAGCGGCCTCCTTTCAGCAAGATTCGCCGGTCGGCGCCTGGCTTGGCCGGTCGGCGCTGGCTTTTGCGTCACCTACTCACTTGTCTACCGACAAACGCCTGGGAACTTTGGCTCTCATCTCACCTCAACCGCGGCATCGCCCAATCGCGCGCAAGATCGCCGTTCATTTGGGAGCTTGAATCCAGAATCGATGAGACAGCTTTCGCGCGGTAGCATCTATGGTATGAGAATTATATATCCCGAACGGGTATGTCTTGTTAATATTGGTATAGGATTTGGAGTTGGACTTCTCGTCGGCTTTCTATCTCACACTCTGGCTCTCCTTACCGGCCTAGCCATGTTCACCATTTACGTACTTGCTGCCGCTCCCCAGGGAACTCACTCGTCGGGTTATAGTTATTTGAATTTGGTGCTAACAATCGTTCCATAGCTTGCGCATCGATATGGCTTGGACTTGCCCCAGCTTCTCGGCTTGAAGAAACATCTAAACAAGGCCATTCTGACAAAGCCTTTCCACAATGCTGTTTTCCGGCTATCTTTCGCAGCTACCTTTACTCTCGCCGCCTTTGTCCGCTTTTAGGTCTGATAACCTCAGAAAGGTTGCGTCTCCCGTGTCAGCCACGCTAGGGTCAAGGGGTCGTTCTGGAAATAATCCTTCGTTTTCTGGAAGATTTCCGCATTGTGCTTGTTTAGCCACGCTTTCTCTTCCACTGTCAAGAGACTGGGGTCAATCAAATTTTGGCAGTATGGGACCATAGTGACGTGCTCGAAGCCCAAGTAGGGCTTGTCGCCAAAAGAATGCTTTGTCTTGACTTCGGTTACCATTGCGACATTCTCGATCCGAATGCCATATGACCCGTCCTCGTAGAATCCTGGCTCGATAGACACTACGTTGCCTGGTGCAAGAGCGACTTCGGCAAACTGGACTCTGGTGCCGATACCGATAGGGCCCTCATGTACGTTGAGGTACGACCCAACACCATGACCAGTTCCATGACGGTAGTCGAGGCCCTCTCTCTGAGGCGCAAGCAGTGTTAATTAACCATCTCTGCTGGTCAAGGCTGCGATTTAATACGTACCCATAGGTGCTGGCGAGCCAAGCAGTCAAGCGCAAAGCCAGTTGTGCCCTTGGGAAATATCGCAGTGTCCAGCGCAATGTTCCCCTTAAGCACCAAGGTATAGGCGAGCTTCTCCGCTTCCGTAGGTTGTCCGAAGTGCAAAGTCCTTGTTGTGTCGGTAGTTCCGTCGAGGTACTGCGCACCAGAGTCGCACAGGTAAATGGCATTGGGGTCAATGGTGCTGCATGCCCCTCGCTCCGGCTTATAGTGAATCACAGCGGCGCTGGAGAGATATCAGCAAGAGTTGGGATGATTGGTGTCTCATGGTGCCGCCATAGCCCAGGTAGAATATGTTCACTAGAGGCAAGAGAAGTCCAAACTTACTTCGCACCGGTCGATGAAATGGTGTCAAATGACAAGCCAACGTAATCTTTCTGCTTTGCACGCAGTTGTTCGAGTTTGTCGCCTGCCTCAACTTCGTCCAACTTCACTTTCTTGGCCACAAGCTGGTCTTCCAGCCAAGAAAAGTACTCGATCAAAGCAGCGCCATCACGAATGTGACAAGCCCTCATACCAGCCATCTCGTTCTTATTCTTGACAGCCTTAGAGTCCCCGATAGGACTTCTTACCTCGTCAACTTGACCGTCTCCGCCCAGGGAGCGCTTCAATGCCCAAGATGCCTTGTTGGAGATCATGAACCTCTGAGATGTAGTTCCAGTTGCTGACTCGGTCGATTTAACCTCGGATCGTAAAGCGTCAATTGCATCGAAGATGGCTTCGTAAGGCTTGACAGCGACGTCATTCTCCGCAAGATAATCCTGAGTCTCTTTTCCAAGCTTAGTATCGTCAACATAAAGGGTTGCTGAATCGGGAGTAATGATTGCATATGAGAAGAAGACGGGGTTGTAGGGAATGTCGTCGCCGCGGAGATTGAAGAGCCAGGCAACCTCGTCGAGCATTGACACAACAAAGGCAGGTGAGTTCTTCTTTTCCAGCTCTTGGCGTAAGTCCTTGAGCTTGCTCTTGACGTCCTTGCCATTGAACCTCTCGGGCAGCACTTTGACGGGGTTCTTGGGGCGAGCCGGGCGATTAGCAGCCCACACAAGATCCACCAAGTTGTCATCCAAAGGCAGCAGATCACTACCGCCAGATCTCTTGACCTTTTCAGCGAGTTTCTTGGCTACGGAGCCTGTGATGAGTTTGGCGTCAACACCGACAACCTTGCCACCAGTAGACTGTTCAGCAGACCATTCTTGCCATGTAGGAACATATTGGAGACCTTGTTTCAGGAGCAACCAGTTTTGATCAAGCTGCTTCGAAGCTTGGTTGAAGTATCTTCCGTCGGTAGCCAGCGCAGCCTTGTCCAAGGTTACGACAGCGCAGCCGGCAGAGCCACTGAAACCAGAGATAAATTCCCGGCGAGCATCGCAGCCAGCGATGTATTCGGAGGCATGGGAGTCTTCAGAGGGGATGACTACACATAGAAGAACAGGGAATCAGTGACGACGCTACAACAACGCAACCGGCAGAAAACTGGCTTGCAGTGATTTGTCCATACCGTAAACGTCGACCTTGCGCTCCTTCATCAGCTCTCTGAGCCTTGAGAGGCGGCTGGTTGTGTCAATTCGCTCCATATCTAGGGCTGGGATTTGGTGTAATGCTCGATGGCCAAGGCCAGGAGAAGATATATGAAAGCCGGCGGATGATGCAGCGGGCGGGGGCCAGACGCTGACGCTGCTTGTAGGGAATCGATAGCTGGTTCGGCAGACAAGACAAAGGGCAGGGCGAAGACTGGTCCTGAGCATGAGGAGGGAATGCTGGAGGTACGACCAGGACGGTGGGCGCGTGTGGTCAATTTCACTGGGAAGCGGAGGTTAAGGCAAAGGTAAATGGGATACCCGATGTGGCTTGACCTGCGCGGGGACAACTAACTCCACGGGCAGCGTCGGGACAAGTAAGGTAGGTAGGCACGTACGCAGGTAATGGAAGGAGCTGACTGTGACGACTCCACGTTTGGAAAATGCTGCAGCTCAGGTCAGGCCTGGGTACAGTAGGTAGTCCTGCCTAGCTACCTGATAGTGTGGGCCTGGACGACAGATACATACAAATGCACACCAGCTCTCCTTCCACAAAAGTGAGTAGTGCCCCGCACCAGCTCATGTTCAGACCTGAGGGAGGGGCAGATTCCGTTACTGCCCGCCCTTCTGTGTGGTACCTTAAGACAGCGGGGGCCTGTGTAATAGGCAGCTGGAGCAGGTGGCGTGGTGAGATGGCACGTGGGTGTCATGGACAGGTACCAAGGCACCATGTTAAGTGCATATATACCTTAATTAGGTAAGTAAGTCGGTTACTGTCGAATGCCTTAGGTGAATACATATGTCTTGCACAGAGTTATCTACCAGTTGCCTACTTCCCAAGACTTTTAGTCGCCTTAATCGCATAAACGGACTATGAGCTGCCATTCTTGCCAATGGAAGGGGATTATTTTGGATACTTAGGCGTCATTATTGTGACTTGTTCGCAGGTAATGCCAGGTTATCCGTAGAAATTAAAACACTAAATCTTCTTCTATCCGTGACACCTTGTATCACTGTCTTTCTCTTTCATCTTCCCTTCCAATAGAAAAAGACGTTGTCCGTTCTTCACCAGGTTACTTTGTCGCTCGTGTCATTTGGTCCTCCAGGCGACCCGACCCACCCTCATCTTCTCCGAGCTTTCTTACGCTTCACTTTGGGCACTCGGCCTGCATTTTATGTTTACCCAGAGCCTCAACTTCAAATTGTGACGCTCAACCATAGTTCCAAGCTCTGACGCCGCCATCCATCCTGCGCCTGCCTCTTCACGTCGAAGCACATCTTCATCATTGAGGAGATAGTTGAGTGTCAACATGAGAACAAAATCGACAAACATTTAAGTGCTTCATCCTTTCTCGCAAACATGGAACCACAGCTGCCATCTACCATACAAGAGGCAGAAGCCGTAAGTCTCGTACCCACCCTTGGCAAGGTAGTGACTATGCTGACAGTCGCCTCGCAGTTAGTACTGGCTCTCTATGAACCGTCTCCTCCTGAGACCATTGCGCGCATCCAAGAGACGCTTCATCGCATGCAAAGATCCCCTTCCGGCTGGTGGATCGCCCGTGATCTCTTGGGCTATGCAGACGACAAGGTCAAGTTCTTCGGTGCCCTCACCCTGATTGTCAAGCTTAACACCGAAAGGTTGTATACCACCTCTCAATTTGGCCAGCACCGCCACTAATATCGAGATCAGCTCCTCGCTGTCAAAGGAAGATGCATCAGAATTGCTACAAAATCTCATAGGCTGGTTTGTCAGGTCTCTGGACGACGGCTCCGGAGCCATGGTCGTTAGGAAGCTATCCGCAGCTTTGGTAACCTTTTTCTTATGCTTTCCCACCCAGTGGGGGCTTTGCATCCGTCACCTCTGTCTCTCTCTGTCCGAAGGTGTAGCATTGCCCCAAGACCGAGTCGATGAAACCATCGATTTATCGAGCGTCCTGCAAACACTCCAGCCTCGAAACTTCCAGGCCGCACTATGGTTCTCAGGAGCACTAATAGACGAAGCAACGAAAGTGGAAATGAACTCAGCAAAACAGTGAGCATTGCAGCCTTTCTGATCCTGGTCTGTTCACTAACGGCGCGGAAGCATGGGTTTATATGAAAATCTCACGCGCAATGTTCCAGATGCTATGGCTCTCATGTCCCACGGATTTTTACGCCGAAGATCTTCAGATCCAATGAGCCACAGCTTACAGAAAGACACCATAACTTGTCTACAGGTAGGCAGTCACCTCGTTTATCCAATCGCGTGAATGCCTCATCTTTAGGGACAAGTTGCTCACCACACATCGTCCAGTCGTGGGTTTGGTTCTCTCAGAGGGTTTCAGCGCACAACGACGAGCTTGTCCACGCTCTTCGGGCCCTGGTTCAGCCTACGATCACAGCTTTGTGCGATAACGAATTGTACGAGGGGGCCGTGGAGTTGCTCTCCGAAATTCTGTCAAACTACTCGGGCTTCTTGACAGATGAACATTACGAATCCCTCTTTTCTCTTTTCGAGACCCAGTGGTCTCATGAGCGATACCAGCGTCTTGTCCAAGGGGACTTCGACTTTGATTCCGTTCAATTCGGGCAGCTCATGATCGCTCTTGGCGATTCCAAGGTTGAGGATCTCATTCACGGTGTGGATGCCCGCTCATCGCGTTTTGTCGCACATCTTCGTGGGCTCCTCTCTGCCCAGGGATATCCTGTCAGCGAGGACAAGATTTTCGTCCCGGCCCTCGAGTTCTGGTCCACCTATGTTGAGACATTAACAGACTGCATTTACTCGGAGGAAGAGGGCTCAAAGGAATGGGTCTCTACGGCTACATCCCACGTTCTGGAAGCTATATCGACTGTGTGGCAACGAATTGCATACCCACCTGCCAGTGTTCTTGCTGATTGGGATTCGGTTGACCGCGCCGGTTTTGGCGATGCAAGGAAGGATGTTGCTGACCTTCTTCAAT